CCTGACCTTTGTGGAAGATCTTGTCTCACTTTGAAGGCTGGTATCTTTATTTGTGAAGCTGTGTCACTGCACAGGGCTGGGTCTGGCTCTGCTCAGCTCCACGCAGGGCTGTGCCATGTCCTGTCTGCACACAGCCTGGAGATGCTGCACTGCCTCGGAGGGCTGCTGGTGCTCAGTGCTCCACCATGAGGGTTAAACAAACATGATTTAGAATTCTTCTGTAAAAACAGAGCTCAATTCCTTAGGAATTTGCTTCAGAGAGGACTGTGAGATATTCTCCCTCTACGGATTTATATTACAAAAATAGCACGGTTCTGTGTCTGCAAACAGAAATGTGAGCCTGGAGAAGAACTCCAGCGGCTGTACGGCTTGGGTGAGCCTATTGTAAACAGAATGAATTGCAGCAGTGACTGCAAAAACCGAACTTCCTTTAAATACAATGTTCCCTCCTCAGAGTTCTGAAAATACCCCGGCTTTTTTCATGCACCGTTTCCAAGCTGTTTTGGCCTAACCACGAAGAACAGCTTCCAGAGCAGAGGAGCCCCGGCAGCGTTCTGCCTTCCCAAAGTGCCGTGGCTGTGCGAGCAGCAGCGATCCCACGGGCAGTGCTGTGCCCATGGCTGAGAGACGCAGCCTCAGAGTCCCATTGGCACTGCAACTTAGGCTGTCTGCCTTCCGTGCTGCCAGCTGATTGCACTTGATGTGAGCCCGGTGACTACAGCAGTAGCAAATAAATACTGCAGAAGCTACAGGGGTTGTTTCTGCACGTGGTCAGCGTGTTGGGACCAAACAGGACTGAACGTGGTGGTGACAGCTCCTTGTGAGCGGGAGCTCGGATTCGAGGGCTGGATCAAACAGTACGTGCTGCTGCTTCCTCAGAGGCTGCGTGCCCTTTGGCTGTGTTTTTTTAATCTCTTTTTACTATAGAAATAGCTTGAGGAGATTATGCTGCGTCATTCGGTTCCCTGCCAGGGTGTATTTTAGTTAAAGGCAAATGAGAAAATGTGTGAGTGCAGGAGAGTGGCTGTAACTTCCATGGCATAAGCAAGGACATTACAAATTACGTGAGGCAGGGAGGATCTGAGCACTGCAGATCAAATTCAGCCACTTTGTCTGGAGACATAAGAAAAGAGAAAAATGCGCTTTTGCCATTATTGCCACTTAGGGAGCTGCCAGGTGGCTGGGTAACGACCTGGTGCTGCAGAAATGCAGAATCAGCAGAGGCTGCTTGCAAAGGAAACCCATGGAGTGCTGCGAGTGCACGGCAGCACCAGGAGCTGCAGGTGGGGGGACAGGGAGTGGATTTCAGCTGCCTTGGGAGGGATGATGCTGAAGGGAAACAGAGCTCCTCCAGCAGTCATGAGGGTGTTGGGGCTTCTGTGGGCTGCCAACAGTGGTGGGAAGCAGGAGCCACCACAGCTTGCCATTCATACACACATCTGGAGATAAGGGGCTTGTTTTAGGCAGGGTGGGAGCTGGCATGGCAGGGGGCTCCTTTAGTGGCGGTAAGAACTTGACATAAGAACAGCAAAAGCACTGCATCTTTTCTGGCACCAACACTTTCTCCTCACTTTCCCCTTGCAGCAGAAATCACTGTCGATTGCTTTGGAAGGGTTCAAATGAAAATCCTTTGAAGCAGCCATCAGACTTCCTTCCTTTCCTTCCTCTGCTTTGTCAGCAATGCTCTTCTCTGCTAACTTAATGGCATGAAGCAGCCCAGTGTCTCTGCCTAGGTGGGTGGATAGGTGCACACAGGGCACTTGGAATGCCATCAGCCCTGATTTCAGTTTGTCACAGGAGCTGCAGAACTGATTTGCTGTACTGGAGAGAGATTTTGCTGCTTGCTGAGCTGGTTGAAGTGATTCAATTGCATCCTCAGGATATATAGCTAATGCTAAACCCAATATGTATTAGTACATGTTAGAAGAGAAATCTATAATAAAAGCCATATCCTGCAATCATGGTGTTAGTTACATTGTTTTCTGTGTTGAAATGCTGCATTTGTATGCCTTGCCATCTGCATCACAGCCACTGCATGTGGGAAGCATGGAATGTGTCTTATCAGACACAGGGCGCACAGCAGAGGACATCCAAAGGTTATGTTGTCATCATGTCAAATGGGGCTGTTTATTCTGACTGCTGGAGAAGCAGAGCTTAATCAGAGCATCAGCCATATGCAGATCTGAAATTAGATTTTACAATAACCACCTGTCTGCTGGTTTGAATCCATCATATCCTTTGGGTTAGAGCTGTATTTGCCCAGTGAGTGCGTTTGCTGAGAGAATGTAATCTGAAAGCCTTCATGCAGCAGCATGAGTGCATGTATATGTATGAGTGTGCGATGGGGCACAGCTGCCTGACAGCTCTGTGCTACGGGCTGCTGCTAATGGGGCTGAGGTCAATCCCTGCAGCAGCCAACAGTGCTGCTTAAACGTCACCTCAACTTCATTCTGCCTCTCTCCTTTTTGGGTTTACGATGCTCACACGCTCAGCCAAAGGGCCTTCTGCCTTGGAAGGAAGAGGAGCACTGAGCGTGGTATGCCACAGTGACAGAGGATGGACACAGCACCAGCTTTTCCTCTCCTGAACATTTCTAAGAGTATGAACAAATGCCCATGTTCATATATTCATATAGTGAAGCGTGTCACAGGTGTGACTCACGGCATTATAGCTTTAACAAGTCAAAAATGTGTGTTAAAGTTTGAGTCCCTCTCTGTTATGTTGCAATGTGAACAACAGCCATGTGTTGGCTTCCTGTGAGCTGAATTAGGGTGGTGGTGAGTCAGGACGAAAAGAGCAACAATATTCAGAGTAAGGGCTGACATTTGGAATGCTGGCACTCAGAAAGAGGCTGCAGAATTCAAAAGAATTCAAGAGCAAAAATTGACAAACAGCTTGTGCCATGGTTTAATCGTGCTCAAAACTGCCTGAAACAAAGCATTACAGATTTTGCCTTGCTTATCTCCGCTGTGGTGGTTGTACTTCTGAAGCGGGAGCTGCTCTCCCTGGGGAAAACAAGAATGTTATTTTCTTAACTGGGAGTAAGGCTCTTCCCACGGCAATCAGCAGGAGGTTTCCATTGAATCCAGTGAGAACTCAACTGGGCCATACATGTGTTCAGTGACCAGAGAGCCTCTCAGCGGGATGTGAGCTCACCTCTCCCCAGGACATCACAGCTCCATCAGTGGGAACTGCAGCTGTGCCCGGGGATCCGGTGCTGGGAGGCAGCCATGGAACGTCCCACAAGCAGCGGGCAGAGCCTTCACTTACAGCAGTGCAGAGAGGAGCTGCAGCCTGTGGTACCGAAATGGTGCTCAGCAGGAACAGCCTCAAACCTGCGCCTTTCCAGAGCTCTCCTTTTGCAGAAGTTTGATCTCAGAAGAGGCTGCCTTCCCACTGGAGTGCCCTTGAAATACTGCCCAGGTCAAAGCAAGACTCAGCAGGGTCTGTCCAGGAGGGCCACCACTGGTCCCCATCATTGGGTCCCATTGCTGGGACTAATCCATCACTCTGTCCCATCCCAGGTCCCACTTCTGGTCCCATTTTCATCACTCAGCACGCAGGGCATAGAACCCAGGTGTGTGGTGCTCAGAGCTCCGTGCCACCAGCTCGTTCCTCATCACCCGGGAAGACACAAGGATGCACTTTATCTCTGTACGTTGCACACGTCTTATCCCCGTGCACGTAGGCTCCTGAAACACGCACAGCTCAGGTGTGTTCGCAGCCTCCTCTCACAGCGAGCTGCCCAGAGTCGGCTCAGGTACAAAAGCCGTTTTGCCCGGCGAGGCCGCCCCGGCCCGGCTCCGTACCGACGCGCTTCCACCACCCCCTCCCGGCGGCGCCGAGCCGTGCCGCTCCCCGGGTACCGGCGAGGGGTTCCGCCGCTGAATTTCCGCGCCGGGCCCTCTGGAGGTCAGTGTTCGCCCGCGCTGCAGCGGACCTGTTGCACCGCGCCCGGACCGGGCAGCGCCCGCTGCTCGCAGCCTCCGCGGCCCCCGGCGGTCCGCGCTCCCGACGAGCCTCTGCGGGCGCTGCCGGTGCCGGTGGGTGCGGGCGCGGCAGCTCCCCCCGCCCTGACGGCGCCCCCGGCCTCGCCGTGAGCCGCCCCCTCCCCTGCTCTCCCTCCCCTTTCTTCTTTCCCCGCCCGGGGCGGTGCCGTGCCGTGCCGAGCCGCGGGGCGTAGCGCGGCGCAGCGGCCGCGGGCACGGCGGAGCCCCGCGGAAGATGGCGTACATCCAGGTGGGTGCGGAGCGGCGGCGCTGCGGGATGGGAGGGCGTCCCGCCGGGGCTCGGGGGCGATTCGGGGCGCCGCGCGGAGCCCGGCGGGCGGTGCTGCCCTACGCGGTTTGGGCGCGCAACTTCGGGGTAACTTCTGGGGCGGGGGGCGGGCGAACGCGGGCCGTGCCCGCACGGGGACTTCTCGCCGCGGGTGAAACGCGGCTGCCGAGCCCCGGGCAGCCCGGGATGGCGGTGACCTCAGCGGCCCCTCCGGCCTGGGCGCATCCTCGGCCGCGGGCAGCCCGAGCCGTCGGCGTGATGGATGGGAACCCCCGGCAGCGCGGGGCCGAATTCGTTTCGGGTTATTTTAAAATCCCCAGCGCTTTTCTCTCCGGCTCTGCGGTTTCCAGCTGCTTGTTTTTCTAGCTCTGTAGGCTGCAGCCCAATTTTCAGATAAAACCGAGCAGAACGGCTCCAGCTGGACGAGGCGTCCGGGAGCTCTACGGGAACCGCCGCTCTCAGCGCCGTCCATGCCCGCTCTTCCCGACCCCGCGGCCCCGTCCTCCCGGCTTCCCCCGGCCCGGTGCTGCGGCGGGGGCTCCGGAGGAGCGCGGCTCCCGACGGGGCGGGCTGGGGGCCGCCGTGCGCAGCCGGCCCCGCGCGGAGCCCCGGGTGCCGGGATGTGCAGCGGGGCCGCGGCTGCCCCACGCGGATCCAGCCGGTGCCGGCGGGCACATCGCTGTCCCCGGGGACGTGGTTTCGGCGCTGGGGCCGTGCGAGGATGTGGGGGCGCCGCGGCGCTGCAGAGTGGGGGCAGAATGAGATTGCTGGGCGTTGGGGGCACGGCACGAGGATACCGGGGACAATAAGGGTGCCTGGCTGGAAGTCCTCGCTGCCCGTTGCACCCTTCTGCAAACCTCTGCCCCTCCCAGCGCCCACCTCCACCTCTGTGAGCCAGGTGGATGCGCACAGCTGCTCCTGTTTGCTTTCCTTTCATGGGTCCCTGCCTTTATATCCTCTGTGGCACTGGTGACTTGTTTGCCTGTTCTGTGTTTTGTTCTGTAACACTCAGCCCTTGTTACTGCTGAACCGCCCCCGGCGGAGCACTCCGGGCGATAGCAGCATTGCTGTTGAGCTCTGTGCAGCCCTCGTGCTGCTCGGCTCGCTGACACGTGGCAGTGCTCTCCCATAGCCCATGGCTCTGCCATTCACGGCTGTGTGCCCTAAGCTGTCCCCATGTCCCTGCAGCCACTCCGAAGTACCACTTCTTTTGCCCAGCACGTGCTGCAGCGTTTGAGTGCATGGCACAAATCCAGTGCATTATTTTTAGAGCAATTTAAATATCCTCACAGCAGCTTTGTTGAACCATTGTCTCTTTGACTGCGACTTTGCATTAATAAGGAATGATAAAGCCCCATGAAACCTCTTAGGGTCTCCTTAACCAGTTGGTCCGTGGGTATCTAATCACCATCTCGTCACATTGCTCTGCAGCATTTTCAGTCTCTTAATTTCTGTTATAAATGAGCCACGGCCTTCTCACCAAGTGCTGGTTCTGGAGAAGTTCAGATGGAGTAAAACACAGCTCACAGGAGTATTTTTGGAACAAAATTCCGCTGCTAAATCATGGCTTCTTTGTAGAAGGCTGTCTTTGTCCGTGTTGTCCATGAAAGTAAAGACATGATCTGTGCAGGTGGAAGGGCAGGGAAGAGGCATTTTGTTGCTTCTGTCTTAGGGACCCCTTTTGCAGAAGGACAGCTGGGACAATTGGGGCACTCAGTCATTAGCAGGGTAGGAAGGGCATTTCAGCAAGCACTGGAATGCTGCTAGCTGTGTGGTTACAAATGAAGAAAGGTGTGTAAAGTGTTGCAAGGTGGGCTGTGTGATTTGAGCAGTGGCTTGCCATCATTTCTCCCTTTGCTGTATATTTTCTGCACCTTCAGGAAGGGCTGCAGTGCAAATGTCTGAACTGGGTGCATGCTGCAGGCTTGGGGCGCTGAGTTCTGTGCTTTTAACCTCTGAGTCAGGAACAGGGAGAGGCTGAAAGAGAAGGTGTGACTCTTGCTACGAATGCTGCTTTGGCCAGGTTGGTGTTGGAGCTCTGTTCATATGGGCAGTTTCTGGACACACACCTTTCCCAACTGCAGTGTTTGGATGTGATTTGCTGTCTGCTGCCATTGGAGACAGCTGTAAGGAAAGCAAAGTGGCCACACATGGTACCCCATAGCAAGGGGCAAGGAGCAGGACTGTTGTGCTGTGGGACGCGTTGGGGTTTCACTCCTCAGCTTTGGGAAAGGGCTGGGAGCAGCAGCCAGCGCCTGGCCAGGGCACCTCTGTGTGGAACTGGTTATTTTGCAGAAATTTCAGCTCGTTCCAGGCCGGGGCATGTCATGGCAGAAAATGTGAAGTTGTTAGAGCATGGCTAACCTGTTTTTGTCTCTTTCGTTTTGTTCTCTTTTGCTTCATCCTGGATGTCTAAAAGGACAGTTGGAACCAATAAATGAGGTGAGTTAATCTGATGATTCACTCTCTGCTCTGTCTCCTTTCTCCATCCTGAGGGGATTGTCTCGTATTTTCTGACTCTTTACTGATGTCCTAGATATAAGTAACACACCGCATTCTAGGCTGATGATTTTTTTTCCCAATGCCCAGTGTTTGTTTATGGAAAACCTGTTTTAGTGGAGCACAACCAGATGTTCCCATGAGGCTTTCTCTGCAGACCTGTGTTCTAAGAGAAAACCCCCCAGCGTGATGTGATAGCACCCTTGTACCAAGTGATTTGGGGGGATATCTGTGGAGAAATGCTCATGTGGACCTTCCAAGCTTACATATGATTGTGGAGTGGTTTGATTCCTGCTCAACTCTGGGGATGTGCTGTGCTCTCTCAGCTCTGTCTCCTCATAGCCATGGAGTGATGATGTTCTCTAGCAGTGCTCCAGCAGGCTGCTTGCTGCAGGATGGGACATGGCTCAGTTTGGGCTTTCTGGTGCAGGCATTCTGTGCTCCCTGCAGTAGGCTGGGTGTGCACAAACTTAATCATCCTAGCAGAGCAAGGCATGTGGACAGAATGCGTTCACTAATCCATTTTAGTGGCAAATTTGTTGTGCTGTAATTCCATATGTGAGTGGATCATGTGGGTATTACATGCTGACATATCTGTGGGGATGAAAAGTATTCATGTTGCTGTGTTAAGGTCTTCAAATTAAATAGACCTTGCAGAATTAAGTTGGAGCTTTCACTTACCTTCTGGTTTTCATTCCTTCTATTGTATGTTTGCTGATCAGCTTGTTGATGTGCATGAAAGAATAAGCATGTTTCCACTCCAGAATGTTGTTACGCAGTAGTGTTTTGTAAATCACCCTCTTGCCAACATACATAATGATACATTGCTACCAGAGGAGAAGTACCTGCAGTGAATGCTTATTTTCCTGCCTTGTTATGGCATCAGTGAAGTTGGGCCGGTAACTGTGCAGCACTTGTCTTTTTGATGTAGATGGAATAAATATAGTTCTCAATGTGCTGTTGCAGAAACACATACATACAGCTGAATGTTATTTCTCAATAGCTATTGATGGGTTGTAATCTTGTACTTTGGTTTCCAATGGCTTCAGGGTCTGCTCGCTAGAATCTCGGATCTCTTGCTGTGCCGGTGGACTTGTAGAAATTGTTGTCAGAAGTGTTTCGACTGTAGCTGTTGTCAAACAAATGAAGATGAAGTTGAAATCCTGGGACCTTTTCCTGCTCAGACTCCAGCCTGGCTGTAAGTTTAGCTGCAAAATTTCAAAGCACTAATGGAAGAGTAGGGCTGTTCAGCTGTGATGGGAGTATTGATATGAAAAGGTCAGAAGGGCTCAGAGTTTGGAGGACCCCGTACATGAAGGAAGGATCTCCTGGTGAGGGTGGGAAAGTAGGTGGCTCAGTGGTAAGGAGAACCAGCAGCACTATTAGCTCAGATAGTACAGGGAGCCTTGGTAAAACATCTTCTGGTAGGTAGGTCAGAAATTACCTTGTAAGCTGGCATGGAAGCTGATTTGTTGGTTTAGCAGTAAGGACACTTCTCATCCAAAGTCCTATTTTCTGTACAGATAGACCAGACCTTTGGAGCACTTTCTACTAAGCTGAAATGCTGATGAATTTGTTTTGGAAAAATTTCTTATCTTGGCATTGAGATTGTTATAGTCTAGGAAGGTGAAAGGCATGCCTTGTATGTGTTCCGACGAGAAATCATCCACAGTTTCATTTAGCAGGGCTTGAACTCCTGCATCATCTTAGTCTTTTTCAAGACTTCCTCTTGATTCAGCATAGAACAAGAGTGACAACAGCAGGTTTCACCCTTTGAAAATCTCGTACAAAGACAGACAGTGATGTCTTCCCTTTTTTACTCTCTCTCCTTTGGGAACCAGAGAGGTGACTGTGGAGGCATTGCTGATGATGGCTGTGCTGGGCTGTCTTTTATGCTCAAAAGTTGTGGCACAGGAGGTGGCCATTTGGCACATCCCATGATGCTGTGATGTTGGTGGGCACTGTGATACTCAGCTAATGTTATCAACTGCTGTGAGTACCTGCTGCTGTTCTGTTAGGTCCAAAAGGTCTGTGTACTGTTGCTGCATGAAATAAGTTGTGTTAAACCCATGTTTAAATCATGGCCTTGTCTATGTACTTTTTTGAATCATGGTAAAATAGGATGGTAATTAATACTGAAGCAATAAAAGTAGAAATGTTTGAGATGTGTTAGAGTGATTTTTGAATGTTGAACATCGTGTTTAAGAGTCAGATATATGCCCAGAAGTTGGCTCACCTGCAATTAATGTGAAATGGAAACAAAATCAATGCTAAGTAGGAAAGCATTGCAGACAGGAGAACGCAGCAATGAGGTAGCAGTATTGGATGTAGAAAGATTGCTGCAGAAACAATTGTGCACCTGGGAGCAAGCAGGCAGCCTTGCTGTGAGACGGAGCCTCAGAGCTGCCATGCTGAGCAGAGGGCTGTGATGTGCAGCTGGTTGGCCCTGCAGCCAGGTTTGGGCTGCTGCATCCTGCCTGACTCCAGGGCACTGTGATGTGGTGACCTTGTGGATGAGCTGGGCTTTGCCACAGAACACAGAACACAGAAACCTTTGGACTTGTAAAATGCTCTTTCTCCAGTCTGTATTGTTCTCCCCAGTTCCACTCCATCTGAAAGCCTTGATGATTAATTCTGGTAATGTTGATAAACAGAAGACAACACATTCTTGGAGAAGAACTGGGCATTTTTCCAACCACGTTGTGCTTCATGCGACTCTTCTCCCAGCCATGTTGTTCTTCAGTGATGCAGCCCAGTAGGATCCCTAGGGCCCCCAGCCTGGTTCACATTCAGGGCTGTGCCTTTGGTGCTGCATCTTCACCATCCCTTCCAGCTTTGGGCAGCCTGGGCCAGGTAGGGGCTGTAGTGGTGGGAGAAGGCGAGTTCCCACAGGTGACACCTGGGAGGGCAGGCAGAGCTGTTAGAGAGGACTCTGTAGATGAGTAATTTGGCTTTGAGTGGCAGCATGAAGGTGTTTTGCCTTAGGATGACTGAAGTCACTCTCCACGCGCTGTGGGGCTCTGTAGGGCTGCTGACTCCTGCTGCTTTGCAAGGATGGGCCCAACGTGGTGCCAGGAGTGTGACCTGGTTGGGAGCTGGTCAGGAAGCCCCAGAAGAAGTGGAGTGAGGAGAACAAAGAGCAGAGGTGAGAAAGACATTGAGTGAGAGGATGAAACTGAGAGGAGAGGAGAAAAGAACTGTAGAGGAGTGGGGGTCTAGAATATGGAAAGGTGAGTAGAAGGCAAGAGACAGAAGTGATCTATTTTGTTTGCTGGTCAGTAGGAGGGCTGCATTCTTTGTGCATGCAGATTTAAGGTGAAAGTGATGCCATGCATCCTCACTTGACTCAAAGATCACAAGTTGAAGAACATTCTTATTTTCATTATATTAACCTTATACTCAATAATTCCTTTATGCATTTTTGAAGGTAGGAAACAATGTTGAGTTAGGGTTAGGGCTAGGGTTGGAAATTGATCTTGGAGCAATGTGTTTCATGGGTATGTTTTTACATACTCAGCTCAGAGATCTGTGTATGCTAATTAATACCACCCCCCCCTTATTTTTCTTTTTGAAGAGAAAGCTTTTAGATTCAGTGGAATCTCCTCAAATGGAAGATGGATTTGACAGCGCCATATTCTGCATTTAGATACATGCATTAAGTTTGGGAACAAATCAATTTATTGTATTCCCTGCTCACAGCCTGAAAGCATTTTAAAAATAAACCCAAATTTTCAGCTTAGGTCTTTCAATGCTACCACTTCTTTGTTCACCCAGGAAGCAAATGCCATGCAGTTTGCTCCTTCCCTGTGTCCCCATCCAGTCCCCAGAGAAAAATTGATGCTATGGTCTTCATTTGCTCACTAGTAAACAACAGGATGATCTGTCTCAGTGATCTGTCCTTTGTGTTTTGCATGCAGGTTTTCCCTTTGGTAGCTGTGAGACACCTGATGTCCTGGAAATTCAGGAGAGGACCTTAAGGCTGCAAGTTTAAGTACTTCTTGAGAGGCTGTTGATTTTCCTCACTTTCTGAATTTTCACAGTAGCCTCCAGTAGCAACTTGGAAAAAAAACCTTACTGAACTGAACTTAATTGCATTGACCTGAATGCGTGGTAGCTGCTGCTGCTGCTTATCTCCTGATGAGTGATTGCATCCCAGTCTGTGCAGCGATGGGCTGGGAATAAGGCTGTGTGTTGGCACTGCTTGTTGTGGAATATTCTCCATAAAAACCCAAAGATAAATGGTGCATGTTCTGTGAGATTAAATTGAAATCAGAACGAGATTCCTCTTCCCAAAGGCTCTGATTAAGCAGAAACAGAGCTGCTTTAGCCAGAGCCAAAGTTTATTTGAGGAAAAATTATTGTAGCTCAGTAGCAATTTCCTTACTAAAGGTCATCTGTATGTTATTAACTCACTATTATGTTTACCCATTGTAGAGCATCCTTAATGCCTCTCTTCCTGATTCCCTTTTCACTCTGCTTTCTTGTTTTGTGCATTTGCTTCTCAGACATGAACACATCCAAATGCTACATATGATTGTGCAGATCTGTACTTAGGCATGAAAAAGCTGTTTGTGCTTCTACTGCATCACACTGCAGGGCTTGGACTGCCCCTAATGGGCTGCAGAGCTGTGCAAGTACTGTGTGCCCTCTTTAACACAGGTTTTGGTTTTGATTTATTTACTTTTGGATTTCTTTCTTTATTTGTTTATTTTTAATGTGGATGAGTTGTATGAATTGTATGACTCTGGATTAGTGTGGCTTGCATGTACTGTAAATCCTGCTGTGAATTTTGTGGATTTAGATAAGAAATTCTAGTTTAAATCCCTTTTATATTCAGGGGACTTTTTCTATTCTGCAAAATTTTATTTCCCCGAACATTTCTGTTTCTCTAGCTCAGTCACTGATTTCTAAAGCAAATGATTCAATGTATTCCAATTGTACCCAGCCTGGCCATGGGATGAGTGACTCAGGAGCTAGGCTGGAGCAGCATTCCCTTTGCTTTGCTCATTCTGTGCTGGTGCTTTCCTTGTGATCTACTGAGATTTCCTGAGCACTCCGTCTCCTGGGTTCACTCAGCGTGGTGCCCTAAGTGTCCAGTACCACTGCTTCCTTTCATTTCCATCAGCAGACTTCGACCCGTGGCTCAGCTCTCAGGGCGCAGTTGGGGCTGTACCTCTGCATGGTTCTGTCTCTCGCTCTCCTTCCAGCCAGAGCTGGGAGATCCCAGCAGTGGTGTGTGCCTCACAGTTGTGAGAAGTTGAGATTTTTAACCTTAGAGAGGAAAACTAAGGTGAAATGGGAACTGTGTGGGGATTTGGTTATGATCCCAGTCTCCTACTGAGTCCTCTCAAGGTGCTTCATCTCTCAGTGGCATTGTTACTGGGATCCTGCTGTCCTCTCCCTGCCCCCACCAAGACCCCATGGGCAGTGACATTTCTGTCCTTTGAAAGTCACCTCTGCTTTATAGGAGTGGATAAGAAGCAGCCAGTTCTTTTAAAAGGCATATCAATAGATAACTGTTAATTAATCCTATTTATTGAGTTTTGAAACCCTAGCATTGTGTCTGCAAAGTAATATTTTACTGAGAGAGGTATTTGGTGGGACTGGGATGTCTGAGCATGGTGGTCTCCCATGCTGGCTCCTTCTTACTGGTGGCCACTTCAGAGAGCACCAATGGATTTACAGCAGTAAGCTCATGTTGTGAGGTTTTTTTGTTTGTTTGCTCAAAGATGAATATACTGCTGATTGAGATCCAAGTCACGTGCCTTTGTGGCCTGTGTCATGCTCTGGTGCTGATACACTCCTGCTTGAAAGGCAGGCAGAAAGATAATATCCTTTTTACATAGGCATGAAGTCAGTTGCTCAGCCTTCTGCTTGCCAAGTAGATGTGAAGGAGATACCCTGCAGCATCCAGGGACGTGCACGCAAGAGTAGAATATCCAAATACGTTTCTGTTCTGTATGTAGTCCTTTTACTGTGTTGAATCACCCAAAGGTCTCTCATTGTAACAGGATAAGCAGCCAAAATGAGGACAAAAATGGAGACTCTGATAATACAATCAGTGACCTGCCTCCCACTCATCAGGATGTTTCCCCTGACAGAAGGCGGTCGTCTTCAGATACATCACGGTCCACTTACAGCCTCACCAGGCGGATTTCAAGTAAGGTCGTCCTTCCAACATTAATGTAATTCTTGTGGGGGAAAAAGTCAGAGTGTATTGCCTGCTCTTTCATCTCTCAGACAGGTAATCAAGTCCGAGTGAAGGTACATTGATTAAAATCTTATCCTGTTCTACAGGAACGTGGTGGAAGGGACCAGCCTTGTTCTTCTCGCTAAAGCACATGTCTGTGAAAATGGATGGGGGGGAAGCGTAGCTGAGATTGCTCTGCAGCATAACAGAGGGTGCTATTAATTTTTTTACAGCGTAGTGGTGGAAGGTCCCACGTTGCACAGGTACAGAATAGCCAAACGTAAAGAACCATGAGATGAGTTGGGCCTCTAATAAGTTGAGTTTCTAACAATCATATTTTTGCATTTTTCTTATTTAGGTTTAGAGTCAAGGAGGCCAAGTTCTCCGTTAATTGACATTAAACCTATTGAGTTTGGAATAATAGGAGCCAAGAAAGAAATAGTTCAGCCAACTATCCTGCGGAAAACCTATAGTCCAGATGACTATTTTAGAAAATTTGAACCAAGACTGTACTCTCTTGACTCAAATAGTGATGATATGGACTCCTTGACAGATGAGGAAATCTTATCCAAGTACCAGCTGGGCATGCTGCACTTCAGCACTCAGTACGACCTGCTGCACAATTACCTGATAGTGCGAGTCATTGAGGCCAAGGATCTGCCTCCCCCCATTTCGTACGACGGCTCAAGGCAAGATATGGCTCACTCCAACCCCTACGTGAAGATCTGCCTGCTTCCAGACCAGAAGAACTCCAAACAGACCGGAGTTAAGCGCAAAACTCAGAACCCAGTGTTTGAAGAGAGGTACACGTTTGAAATCCCATTTTTAGAAGCCCAGAGAAGAACTCTGCTCTTAACTGTAGTGGATTTTGACAAATTCTCGCGCCACTGTGTCATTGGCAAAGTGTCAATGCCCTTGAGTGATGTAGACCTTGTGAAAGGCGGACACTGGTGGAAATCCCTTGTTCCTAGTTCTCAGGTAACAGAATTGATCGCGTTATTACCACGATTTTTCCTGCTGTGTTTTTTTTTTTTTTTTTCTTTTTGGTGTGTGTGGCTCCTTTCTTTGTTAGCAATTAAAACCATTTTTTATTAGTTGTTGTTATCTTGTCAGTACAGCATCTGCTGGGTTGAGATGAAGTTGAGCCTGTAGCTGGCCTTGTAGCTGCTTTGCTGTGGGGTAGAGAAGCTGCCTTCTTTCATAGTCAAGGGAGGTGGAATGACAAAAGATTTATGTCAACTCCAATGAGAACAAATCAAAACTGCTTTGGAAATCTGCACTTTCTGGAAGATCTTTCTTGTCACTGCAGTGACCTGCCTCTGTTCCCAGACACTGCAGTGACACTGTCTCTTCTGGGTCACTCCTGTGGTTGTTCACATGACTGTGCTTTGGAGAACCACTGGCACCAGTTCAGTAATGATCTGATGCAAAGAAAGCATATAGAAGACAAAATCCATCCCAGAGCAGCAAATAGCAAGGTAATTTTCTTTCTGTCATGTCCCTGAAGGAAATTAAACTTGCCACAGATGGTATCTGATGTGAATGGCATGTTGCATGCACGCAGCTTTGGGCCAGCAGTGTGGCCTGAATGGGATGGCAGAAGGGTGCAGAGGGGGTCCTGTGCCTAGAGAGCTCCCAGTAGCTCTGCTTCCTCTGCAGTGGGAAAGGAGCTCCTCAGGAGAAGGGCTGAGCTTTGCCCCCAGGGCCTGCAGCATGCTGCCAGGTCTGCTTCTGGCAGTGCCACCTGCAGCAGCCTTGCACGAAGCGCAGCCAGAGCTGGGCATGGGTGGCATCCGAGCAGTCTGTGCTAAAGACTGGAGCATCACTGGAGGCTGACATAACATGATTGCCTCTACCTGATTGTCACCAACTGTGAGATTACAGTTTCTGAGTCTTGCTATCTTTGAATCAAAAAGCCTGTGTGAACTCAGAAGGTTCATGGTTCTTTTGATTTGTATCCACAAAAGCATAGCTGGAAGCGCTGGACAAGATGAGCAGCAGATTGCTGACCTCATCTGTGATGTACGGGTCTGAGAGTGTGATGTGGAGTGGCATCTTGTCCTCAGGTGCTTGTGGAAAGGAAACCCAGCCAGGCAGCGTGCGGTCACTGTGCTGCTCTGGGCTCCAGCGACTGCAGGAGCTTTGTGCTTCACCTCAGAGCAGAGGACCTTATGACTTATGGCTGCATTTGCTGGAGCACAAGCAGTAGTGTTACAGGACTAGCCAGAATGTTTCTCATGCAAAAAGGAAAGTTCTGAAAGCTGAGCAGAAGTGAACACCGCAGGCTCCTGCTGTCTGTGTGGGGGTCTGCTTTGCTTGGTAACAACCCGGTGGGGAAAGAGGGGGCAACTAGATTGCAAACGTTCATCTTCCCTATGAACAAGAGCAGAGATCCCTGGGGTCCCTTCTCTGCCATTTTTCCCAAATTTATTCACAAATGCGCATTAGTTTTTTTCTTTTTGGTATTGGTGGCTCATAATGGGCTCAACATTGAAGTACCTGAGGACAGAGGTCTCTTTGCATCCCACTTATTCTCCTGTGATTCATACCATGCAGCCTTGCTTTTTAAGATTTTTTTCCCCTCTCTGCTTTTGCACAATAAACACTTCCCTGTATTCTGTGTCTATCAGGAATGTAGTTGCAGTGCTCTGAACGCAGCCGTGCTTGGACAAGGCCATCTCTGCCTCTGTGCCAGGGGCCAGCCATCCTCCAGCTATAAGGATAAATGCATCTATCAGAGGGTTAAAATAAATCCTGGAAGCAGTAAAACAATACAGCTTGTTACTTTGAAGAATTGCATCTTAATATTTTCCAACAGCAGTAGTATTTGTCCTAGAAGTTTGTATTTTTAAATTGCTAGTTGAGAGATTCTGCCTTTTGGCATGACAGATTTGACACGCTAACAAATATTTTTTAATACTTCTCACTTCTTTGCTCGGTTAGCTGTGCAACAGCCTTCATCTGTTTTTTGTTGGGTTGAAGCTGAGTCTGCCCAAGTGCATTTTGTGTTGTGAAATCAGTGTAGGCTGGGACAAAAGCACCCAGTGACGCCAGTAGCAGTGTTGGTCAGACACGTCCTGAGATCTGGAGAAGCTGCAACAGATGCTCATAAAGCCAACAGCAGTGGGAGATAAAGATAAGATAGGTGTACATTGGGATATGTAAAGATGGGAGACAGAAAATGTGAGGGTGTGGGTTTTTCTTTTTTTTACTGGCATTTATAGGGGAAAACGTGATGAGCGTGAGAGATGGAGGGAAGTGAATCCAGGTGGCTGTGGAGAACGTTTTCTTCCTACCAGTGGGGTGGGATGTCTGTTTTGCTGCCTGGAAACCATTGCCAGGGTATGTGCTGATGGGGGCAGGTGCTTCTGGGCGGGCATGGGCGTGTGGTCCCTAGCAGCAGAGCATCTCTGTTACCTCCTCATGGAGCTGCTCGTTAACTGACAGCCTGGAAACTTGCCTTGAGTACAACTGCTCAGACTGTGTGGCGTTGTGTGCTTGTTACATGGGCTGAAATAGGGTTGTTGTATCTGGGTGTGTATAGTTGGTGTCATCAGATAAACTGAATGTGTGTGAGCAGTGTGCTGTCCTCTCAAGAAATCAGGCACTGAGATCATAAGTGATAAGCACTGGGTATAAGACCATGCCTGTGCATAAGCATCTTTTCAGTTTGGATTGTGTGTTAAGCATTTGGTGGGATTGAGTCCAAAAGGGAGGCACAAGGGAGCTGCCATCCCATATGTGATCAGGGTCAGCAAATAAGCAGCCTGACTCCTTGTAGGAAATGCCAGTGCAGGTACTGCCAAATTCTCTATCCTTGGTAGTTCTGGATGGCTTTTTCTTCTAGGTTAGCTGCTCACAGAGAAACTTCTGAGTCCAGTCTGATGGGAACACTCTGCGCTCCTTAAATATCCTCTTAAATGTGTGTGGCTTCACTTAATTACCATGAATGAAGTTGGCAGCCCTCGCTGTGGCTGTGCTCAGATTCACACATTTCCCTGTTAAGATTAATTCTGAAACACATGTTAAGGACCCCAACTTTTATTGACATATGATTCATTTCTCTTTTGGCAGATTTGAGTGGGCAGGAATAAATGTTTTAGACCAGCAGTAATGAGAGCTTGGAGACCGTTCTGCAAAAGAAAAAAGCTTGCGTGGTTGTAGTTGGGGGAAAATAACATAAAAAATCATCCTCCTCTCCAGTGTAGCCATTTCTGTAATAGAAGCGATAAGTATTGGACTTGCCTTTTTAACTTCATACTATGAGAGCACTAGAGTGACGGTCTTTTAAAGAGCTGTCATCTTTGTCTGTGCTTCTCAAATAGCTCTCCTGTGGCAGGGCTCTACAATGTTTGATTCCCACCTCAGAGACAAGCCTACAGCAGGCGTCACACTGTTGTTCTTACCATGCCTTGGTTGGGAAGGAAAAGTGGATGACAGGGATCTGAAATACAAGAAATGAGTCACTTCTGAGCGTTTCCTTTGCCTTGCCTTGAATCCTGGGTGGCCCTGGCATTCTGCTGGAAGCCTCCAGGTGAACCTGCACTGAGTTTGCTCTTGGCACTGCCATTCCTGGGTTTGCTGTTGCAGTTCTGAGAAGATACCATCTTTGGGGAATCTGTTACGTTTGGCAGTGGGTAGTGCAGGGTATTACCCAGCAACATGCTGGCACACACAGGCATGGGACAGATGAAAAAGGATCCAGCAACTTTGCTTAGAGAGCCTTGACACAGCAACTGGTTCAACCTTGTGTATATCAGCATGGAACAGAGTTCATGTTGGTGGTATGGCGTTGCAGGAATTAAATATGGCAGTGAGTATTGTCAAGGATTTTTCCCTATTTTTCAAGCATAGCTGCCTAATTAAAGGAGGTGGTGCAGAATCAGTGCTGATGAATGAAATATATGTATTTCAGTTCCTGAAATACATATATATATATATATATATATAAACATATTATTATATATCATATATATTTCTGATCCTTAGTAGCTCAACCTTCCAGGAATGATTTTGTGTGTCACAGGATGCTGTAGAGAGCCTGTTAGAGCAAACTGTTCTAAGCCATCAGTTTCCTAATGTGCCTGAAGGTATCATCACAGATAACCTGGAGGAGGAAAATCAATCTAAAACTTCATTAGCAGTGTTGCATAGATGTCTGTGCTGATGTAATGTGCTCTGGTTCCCGTCGGGAACTGGGGAGAGTTTTTAGCTGCAGTTTTGCTGGTGTTGTAGCAATACAATATGAGCAGCCAGGGTGGGCTGTCAATAAGGAATCGCCCTAATCAAAAAAGATGTGCAAGTGACGTTAATTATAAACCTCTTCTTCCCTTGGAATAGCCTTGTTGTGTTTCAGAAAGGACAGAAAAAATAAAACTGTCCTTTGTGTGTTTGGTTCAACTCAAGTGCTAAGGGCAGAAGGTTCTGGATGAGAGGCCAGCCCAGTGTGATAGCAGCGGAGAGGAGCAGCCAGGAGTGAAATGCAAATTCAGCTTCAGAAGAGTCTCAGACATCCCAGGCTCGATGTCACTTAGGCACCTAATCAAACAGGAAATTGCTTTCCCAGGTCATCTGGGATCTTGCACAAATCAGCACATCGTCAGCATGCTAATGGCAGCTCAACCGAGGCCTTGGAGAGGTGCTGCCTGAGGGGCAGCTCTGAACACTGTGTTCTCTGAAAAGCACGTCCAAGGTGAAACCAAAACAGACAGCATTTCAGGTTTCTGATGGAGATGGAGGAAAGGGAAGATTCAGATGCTTCCTCTCCCTGCCATGTGCTGATGACAGCTCTTGTGCTGTTGAGCTCGTGTTCCTCTTTGCTCAGCCAGTGTGTGTGAGTGTGAGATTTGGGAAGGCTTCAGCGAGCAACAGAACAAAAGCTGCTTCTGTGCCTTGAGTCTTCCCATGAAAACATGCCTTGACATTGCTCTTACTTATAGAGATGTCTGTAAACAGCATGATGGCCAGCAAAACAAAAGGCCAAAGAGGTATATTGTGTACCCAGGGTTTTTTGGAGCACCCAGTTAGTTCTTTTCCTATTTGTTAATAATGGCTGCAAATGACAAGTGAGCCAAGAGCAAGAGAAAACTACAAAGCGTGGTCTGCTGGTGTCTGGCCAGCCTGCTGGGGAGGAACCTGTGGCTGCTCCCAGCTGTGGATGTTGGCTGACCACCTGGTGCCCCTTGGCCACAGTGGCAGGGATCAAGACACGTTTCCTAGATTCTCACAGCTGAACTAGAAATAATACATTTATAGGACCAGAGACAGTTCACTGCTCAGGTTAAGTGCTTTTAAAGGTCTGAGTCATTCATACCGTAGGCTATTTGGGGAGCTGGGTTTCCTTGCAAAAGCACCTTTTGTTACTGCTGGAAACACTTCTGTTGTTCTGCCTTGCTGTGGGGCCACTTTGTTTTTTGGGCACAGCCACCCTGCGTGGTCCTTTGCAGGCTGCATTGTACCTTACCTCCCTTAATGTAATTAGTAAAAAGTCTGGACGCGCTTGGAAGGCAGTGAGAGCTAGAAAGGCTGTGCTGGGATTTGGGAAATTGGGCCTGATCTGAGACTCCTTAACGCTGGTTGTAGTCTTTGGAGTCCAGTGGATCACACAAAGTACAACATTTTGTATCTCTCCCACGTAGTCAGAAGGGTTCTTTGAGAGCTGCCAGCATCCCTGTTATGTTGGTTGCTGCTGAAAATCAGGCAAGTAGCTTTCCCTTTCCCTGTTAAGGCTCAGCACTGTCTGGCAGCAACATGCTTGTATTACATGGGCTCCTGGCACAGCTCAGTGAGATCAGCTGTGCCTCCAATGTGTGGATCCAGATGGAGTTACCTCAAATTTTGGATGTCCAGCACTCTTAGCTTGAGGTGATCTATAGAGTCTAACCTTCCTGTCCAGTGTCAGCCCGCCTCCATCTGCACCAGGAATCTGATATTTACAGCCTAAACTGTTGGGCTGTCTCATCCCAGCTGGTAATAGCATCATTAATTAGCTTCTTAATTTGTGCTGTCTGAATGTACCTGAATTTCTAGGAATTAAAGTCTGCATGGAACCCAGCACAGCGGTGAATGCAAGTGGAAAACAAGGCTGGATGCATTAAAAATCAACATTTTTAATGTTGGTGTGTTATTTAAAAAAAAAAAAAAGAGCTGAGGGATAGTGCAGGTGGATCATGTTTGCGTAGCGTGGGTTGTATAATGCTTCCTTACTGTGCTGGTGATAGATTTTACAGGCCAGGTGTGAACACTGAGATTAGCTCTTGTGATTTGCCAGGCAGGAGGGACACTGGCTGATGGCGGTGGGGTGGCTTTCTGCTGTCTGAGGGCTCCTGGCAAGATCTGAACCATGCTTGGGGTGGCTGTTCTCAGTGATAAATTTGTCTGAGTGATTTTGGGGAAATATCAAAGATGATACAGCTAGGCATTTGAATCACGTTAAGCATGATGCTGTCCTAGATCCTTTGTGCGACAGTTGGCTACAAAAATTTATGTGGGTATGGCTTGGACTGGCGAGAGTTGTGAGCATGATGTACGTATTAAGGGAATGGCTTGCTGATGGAAATAACTGAAAATATCATATATATTGAAGAGTGCTGTGATGTGGGGCTGCACAAAGGCTGATGGAGGGGGCATGCCATCCAGGAAAAAGCAAAAAATATTGCAGCAACAGCAGGAAATACGTGTGGTTAATATGAGTCTGTGATCTCATCGTGACCTGCATAACGTGACCTGAGAGATGCTGTGAAGAAAGGAGTTAGGGGTAAGAAGTCAGGTGCTTTTTCTGATGTGGGAGGGAGGCTGTAGGAAAGGTGGCATCAGGATGGGCCAGCTTGGGGCTGACACTGCTGGTGTGGCTCTGGGGTAGCCAGGGGTGCAGGGAGGGTGTGTGGTAGGATCAGGTAGGCTCTTGTCATATTTTCCATATAAAGCAAAAAAAAAAAATAATAATAATAATAAAAAAAATTGCATCAGAGGCACAGGGCTCCCTCAGCCTGCCACCTGCTCCTGCATGCCGAGCACATCCTGCTGCCTTCGCCAGGAGCAGTCAGCAGGAGCAGAGGAGACAGAACGCCTGCGGGAGAACTTTTAACATGATTACGTGACGTCAGATGCAGCGCTGGGCTCGGCGGGTGAGGAGCTGGAGGTGCAGCCCCATGCACACAGGGTCTGGGCAGAGCTGTGGTGTGCTCACATTGGTCACTCAGCCTGGGATGGGCAACTCCCATGCTGACCTGTCTGCTGGTGAAACTGGGCCAGCTCTGGCTGTGTATCACAGCTTTTTCTCTGTATTGTCTACCCAGTCACATAGTCTCTGATTTCTTTAATATTTGGGGTATCATTAAAGATATTTAAGCCTTTTGTTATGATAGCAATCCCACGGCAGCTCCTTTTTCTTCTGGGAATGGGCAGTGTTGGTCAAATGTCGGCTTGGTTTGGACCTGCCCTGCACCATGAAATGCAGAGCTGGCTTTGGGTTTCTGCAGGGAAGTGAGAGGGGCTGGTGGCCAGCCCTGGTGTGGGCTCTGCAGCTCCAGCCTTGCTTCACTGAACAGTTTGCATCTGAGAGTAATGGTGGCTCTGAGCCAGGTCAGGCTAAAGGGGGGAGGTTATTCTGTGCTGTCATGTCTGAGGAGCAGTGATGTCAGTTCTCCAGCTCTTTTTATTAGCAGTATTAATTACTGTTTCTAAGCATCATTAAGTAAAGTGAAAGGAAGGTAAATAATGGCTGAACAGTGACATTCCTGTGATACATCCTGACAAAAAGCAAGGAGTGGGCTAAGCCAGGCGCTCAGCACTGCATCCTGCTGGGATGGGCAGAGCTGGATACAGAAGACAGCTCTGGATCTTCCCACAAGACCCAGGGACATGCTGACCACCTGCTCCTGAGTTGTGCCTGAAGTTCCCAGGGGCTGGTGGTGGTCACTGGGGCTGGGGAGGGGAGAGGACATCTCAGATGGAGTCCATGTTGTGTGTGTTAATCAGGAGGTGAGGCTGATGAGATGAGAGCCGCATGGAATCACTCAGAATAAAGGGGGGGGGAGAAACTACTGACCCTGTATTCCTTCCTCCTTATAGGTCCTCTTTGCAACGACTACTGAAAAGCTGCTGAACGATCAGAGGTTAAAGAACAGATCATCTGGGGATAGTATTCTTTCTTGTTTCTACTCAGCACGAGGTACCACCAGATGGTTCTTGGTTGCAGCTTAGAGTGTGACTAAAATTTGTTTTTCAGGCACTTAGGCAAATGGGATTTATTTAATTTCTCTTCCTGCTCTTTCCTTCCCCTCCAAGCTGTGTTCTGAATTTCCACATTCCCTTTTCCCCATAGAATGAAGTTGAGCTGGGGGAGCTGCTGTTGTCACTAAACTACCTGCCCAGCGCAGGAAGGCTGAATGTGGACATCATTAGAGCAAAACAGCTTCTTCAGACAGACATGAGCCAAGGTTCAGGTAAAGGGCAGGGTATTTCTCACATTACTCATGCACAGCTTTTATATGCTTCTAAAGCAGGCCGCCAGCAAGGCTGCAATTTGTGCGGGATCCAGGGGGATTTGGATGCTCAGTTCCTTTTAATACAAGGCACTGGATATTCATTTTATATATGTAGCCAACAGTAACCAAAGTAGCCAGAACACTTACCCTGAGCTAAAATTGAGGGTATGAATGCCTTTGTGATGCTGCAGTTCAGAATCTCTGAACCAGAGTGAGGTGAGGAGCCAGAAGTCCCAGTTACCTCCATGTTCCATGTTGCAAGACAGCCTGTTTAAGGTTGTCCTATCCTTTGCAGATACTGAGCACTGTGTGAATGTTAATATTGCAGTGGTGTTATTTAGGTTAGCTAGCTGCTCTGTGGACTGTTTCTGTTGCACAGTGTCCATGCCTTGCTCCCTGCAGTTTCTGAGCATGCAGACTGGTATTCACATGGTGCACCAGGCCATGCTCCCTGCGCCAGCATTGCTGCTGTCAGAATGCTGGCATTTTTTAGAAAGAGCAGAGCATCTGGCCTGAGTCAAGGCTGTCATTAATTGTGCTCGGTGTGGTTTCAGCAGGAGTGTTACTAAGGCAGCTGCCCGATGCCTGCCTCCTTGCTGCGCAGTGCTGCAGGCTCAGTCCTTCCCCAGCACTGTTCTCCAGCCCTGTGTCCCTGTGCCCAGCTGTGCTGAACCTTCCTGAACCAGGACATTGTCTCACTACTCCAGTAACGTGCAGCCTGTGTTTATTATATTTTTGCCAGATCCTTTTGTGAAAATTCAGCTTGTTCATGGATTGAAGTTAACAAAAACCAAGAAAACCTCCTGCATGCGGGGGACGATAGATCCCTTCTACAATGAGTCCTTCAGCTTCAAGGTTCCCCAAGAAGAACTGGAAAATGCCAGCTTGGTGTTCACAGGTAAATGTGCTGCTGTTATTGGTGTGGTGTGGCCTTACTCTCCTCTAAGGTGAGCAAAGCAGCATTTGCAGGCATACAATAAGCCCATGCAGGGCAGTGCTGGTCCTGGTAGCTGCCCCAGAAGGGGTGGCCATTGCTGGAGTTCTGGGGTAGCTCAGTAAGCATGCTGTGCTCTTCAGAGCCCTCTGCAGCTTGAGTCTGGAGCTGCTGGGGATGCACCTTGTCTGTTCTGTGCTTGATTTGTGCCTCTGGAAATGGTTCTGTGCATTAATTACACTCTTGGTGATAGCCAATATGACATAAAGCCAAAAATCAGAAGAATAAGAGATGAGCATTGGATGATCCTAAACCCAACCATTGGCAAAGGTAACTTTTGGTACCTGACGTAGTTTGCCTGTCAGGTGATGCAGTCACAGGTGTGTAGCACAGACATCACCTCTTCCCTGCAGCACAGCTCCACTGGAGGAGTGCTGGGGCTGAGTGGTGGCTTTGGGGACATACGCTGCACCCACAGCCACTTTTGAGTTCCTGTGCTTCTAATTTTATTTTTTGGCAGATTTCTGCCCATTAGTCACCACCTTTGCAAAGAAGAGAAATGGATCTGTATCTGGAAGAAAATGTGTTGACTTACTTTATTCCTTACATGGCAGATGCAGGTGTCACAGCCTGTACCGGGAGCCTAATTCCCACCCATTAGCTTGTTTCCAAACGTGTCACAGCAAAAGCGATGCTGATCAGTAATTTAAATCCTGCCCTTCATGTTCAAATATTTCCTCAGCCAAAAGCCTATAATTAATCACGTCTTCGCCTGCACGTTGTCCTGAATGCACCTTTCATGTGCAGTGATGAGTCTGTTCTTGGAAGCTTCTGTCAGGTGTTCACGTGACAGATGGAAATACTCTTTGTTTTCATCTTCTTATAGGAGAAAAAGTGGATGCAGTACCAGCACTGTGTGATAGGGAGGGTGAGGGGGATGTTCTGCTCCTCACTGAAGCTGAGGAAGTTGGCATTGACAAAGTGGCTATTGGATTATTTTTTCTATTTCTTTTTTCTGTGTGTGTGTGTGTGTGTGTGTGTACCAATGGATGTATTTTAAAGTGAGTGAGTTGGAAGTTAGTTGTGTGATTCATAATCATACATAATGCAGTCAGGTTTCAGTGGTGTGTCTTCTACTTGGTACTTGGCTGGTAATGCTTGCTTTGGAAGTTGCAATAAGTAATCCTGAAATGTCCATTTTTGCTCTTGGTTTTTGTTTGTTTGCTTTGTTTTTGCTGTTGTGGTGGTTCTTTCTGTTGTTTGTTTTCTGGAGCTGATTTTTAATTTTTTTTTTCTTTCCATGGCTCTCGTCCTTAAGGTCAGTTAATTAAATTTGCTGTTGAGTTGAAGTCCAATTGAAAAGGAAAATAATCGTGCTTGAAGGGTGGTTGATGCTGCTCTAAGTGGGTAGAGAGCTGCCAGTCACTGAAGCCAGAAAATGAGTATATCTTCAATAATTTAAAGGAGCCCTTTTTGTGGCTTCATATTTTGGACCCAGTGTGCAGCTGTCTTTACATTGGCTTGGCTTCATTTGAAGGTGGTGGAGCCGTGCCAGTCCCTATCAGCTCCTGCCTCCCTCTGTGTAGCTACACTGCAGAGTGATGTGCTATCAGACAAAGTACAGTTATTATTTTTTCCATGGTGTTTTTTTTGTCTTGAACAGACTATCTGGCTTTCAGTGCATTGTAATAGAGATTTGTGCCTGTTTCTCCTGTGGCTTTTCTAATGACAGCCCTGCAACCTGGCAGCTCTGTAGGTTTTCCTCTGCACTGTGTTCCTTGTGGAGCTGCAGAGAACCACCCTTGGACTGACCCCACATTAGGGCACGGCTGTGCTGGGAATGGGAAGCTGTGCGTGCAGGTGGGGAGTGTGGGGGCAGCTCAGCATGAGCAAAGATTTGGGGTATTTGGGACCATTTCTTAGGCTTTTCTTCCTCCTTAGAATTAGAATGATTAAGGTTGGTAAAGACTGCTAAGATCATCTAACTAACCATCAACGCATCCCCAGCATGCCCACTAAAACTTGTGACTCCTTGGGCATATTGGGACTGAATTCTGGAGGTTATTGGTGTTCACAACCCAAAGTGCTTCTCTTTTCTTCCATATTGGTGCAGGGCACGTGTGCCACCTTCTCAGCTGCCTTCTGGGGATGTCGCTGCCTCAGGGTCCCCAGTTGGTGCCCAAAAGGAGGTGAGATGAGCTGGGGGGAGGCTGTCTCTACCAGAGCACCATCTGTACACAGCTCCTCACCAGAAGAGGCTAAAACCAGGAAAACGATCAAATGATGTAACAAGCATCAGTTAGTGAGGCAACAACTTGTAGAGGTGTTTAATTGTACTTTACTTCATCCGACACATTGTCTTGGTAACAAGCACCTATGCAAACAGTGACATGTTTCTTTGTGGTGCTTTTTTTCGTTTGCAGTTTTTTGCAACTTGATGAGGCCAACTCCTTGGCTGTGGGCAGCTTGAGGGCTGGCCCTGGCACGGCAAATTTGGAAGGATGGCAGGTTCTCCTGAGCACACATACCTCTGAGCAAAGGCATTCATTATTTTTTGTCCCGTGGATAGTGGTATTCAGCTGCTGCCTCCAAGCAATAGCCTGAGGTCACCCCTGGGCACACTGCTGAGGACGTTGGTGCAGCAGCAACTGTGTGCTCTTCCCTGGGAGGTTTGGGATTCAGCCCCAAGTCCCAGCCTAACCTTCAGATAGCAAGAGGCATGATGACACCTGACTTCCAAGCACCGTGGTGTTTTGTTAATGATTATAGCATTGTTAATAACAATCGGGTAGTGCTGTTTGCAGAGCAGTAAAGCCCAGATGGCCCAATAAAAGCCACTGGAGCTCTGGAGCGATTTGCATCTTGGTGACTCTCTATCTTCTGATCACTTACAGCTTGCAGGCACTTTCTCTTCTGCACCATTTGTAGGATTTTCTTCACTATTCGATGTGATAATGTAGGACCATGTTGGTTTTGTTTTAGTTTATTTTCTTAGTTCCTAAGGAAGCATAGTTGAATGGTGGGATGTTGAACACGTACAGCTGTGTTTTCAAGGGCTGCCATGCTCCACAGGGCTGAGACAATCCGTGAGTGTTCCCTGCAGCAAGCACTGCTACAGTTCATGTCTTCAGCCCTGAGATTGTGCTGATGCTTTATTCTGCAGCTCTAATTAACTTCCAGTTAATAGGGAGTGCTTGATTAAAATAACAGATTGCTGTTTGATAGCAGTATACCTCATTCCTCGTTACCTTATTTTCTCTTTCCCTCAGCCCTTGGGAAATGTAAGAATCATTTAACGAAGTTTGAATTTTTTGAGGAAGAAAAGTCCTTGTTGGGGTGTGTTGATAATGGTGTTGTTTTGGTGCTCAGTTTGCTTTGATTGAAATGCTTTCTTTTTTGAAGAAATACTGCTTACAGGAGTGTATTTTGGGTTGGATATTAGAAAAAATTCCTTCTCAGAAGGAGTGATGAGGTATTGCAGTAAGGCTGCCTGGGGGGTGGTGGAGTCGACATCCCTGGAGGTGTTCAGGGAATGTGGAGATGTGGCATTGAGGGACGTGGTCAGTGGGCATGGTGGGGGTGTTGATGGTTGGACTAGATGATCTTTGTGGTCTTTCTCCAACCTTAATGATTCTGTATTAATTTCTTACTGATCTCAAACCTGCATTTACCCAAAGCATCTTGAAATAAAGTTATCTGGGATTCACTCTGGATGAGTGGTAGTCAGACTGGTGGTGCAGATGTTGGACATGAGGGGATGCTTTTCCCAAAAGCAGAAGATTTTTAAGAGTCCCAAGAATGGCATGCAGACACATCAAGGATTTTCAATTTTTTTTTTTAATTAATAGGTTGGTTTCCAAATGTTCAGATAATTGGAACAGGTTGAACTTAGATAACAGATTTGGCCTCAGGCTACTCCAGAAATACGTGTGAATTTTGATTTGCCTGGCTGTATACTGGCATCTGAAGGTCATGCTTTCATCATCTTCAGATGCCCACTTGCAAGGGGTGAAAAACACGATCTGCTTGGGATCATTACATGTCTAATTTCTGACTTGCTGCTTCAGATGTTCATGTCTTGCTTCTCCTATTGCTTTTATTTCTCACTAAATTCAGGAATTTTGTCTTTTGCATGTATCTATAGGGAAAAAAATAAGTTCTCTAATATGAGGCAAGTGAAACTTTTTTTTTTTTTTTGCCTCTCCCATGCTGACATACAGGAAAAAGAGGTGGTTTCTGTTTTTTAATGCTATGCTGGGCAATGTAATATCTCTTAGGTAAATAGATAGGCAATTTGCTGCTAGAAGATTGTTTCTGTTAGACCTGTGCTTCTGAAGCAATGTGATATCTATATGTTTCGTATATCAGGAATATACGGATATTGCAGGTCAGAAGAGGAATCCAATCTGTGCTTAAACCTGTGTAATCCTATCTTAGTCAAAGGAAGAAAAGCAAAAAACATTGATGTCAGCAGAGGATTTTCTCAGGATTTAGACCTGTTTAATTTAGATCAGAAATTGGCCTTTGTTTCTGGCGTTACAAAATACTTTATGTATTTATGCAGTGTACACCATATGGTCCATGCCCGGCTTTAAGGATAACAGAGCAGTGCTGCTGCTCTGCTCTGCATGGTGTGACCCAGCAGGTCATCAGGAACACCTCTGCTCCTGGGGCAAAGTGACCCCAAACCAGCCCTGGCAATGGAAGGTTGGCTATAAAAATAGCCACCTGGGGCCTTCCTTGGGGGAGAGGTCCTGTGCTGGGGTGTGAACTGCTTTCAGACTTTGGCACGAGGCTGTGGGCAAACTGCTGTAGGGAGAAGGTGCTGGTTCCCTCTGCTGAGACACCGGGGGATCCAAACCCTCTCCTGCCTGCCTGCACTGTGGGATTTAAGCTGCTTGGGGAAGATGCTCAGGGCTACTTTTGCCTTTTTGCACCAGGCTGGCCACTTTAATGAGGAAGACATGATTAATAACAATGAGAGCACCAGGATGTTTGTGCTTCTGAGCCAATCTGTTGCTTGCAAGCAAGGCAAAATGAAGATACTTCATTCTGCCTGACTTTGTTAATAAGAAGTCGGTGGCTTCAGTCTGTGCATCACTGCAGGCATGGCAGAAAATGATTGTTTCTGGAGTTCTCTGGAATTTCTTAGCAATCGTCTTCTAAAGAAAAGAGCAGAGTTGCTCTTGGAGCTGACCCGCAGCACTTGCTGATGTTGCAGCCCATTAATTTAAACAGTGTCACGCCTCTCTCGACCTCACTCTTTTTATCTTGTTTTGTTCATGCAATAGTGAAAGAAATTGCTGCAGCAGCTCACTGGGCTGTAATCTTTCTGTATATCAAATGAGGAATGATCTGTGTGGTGCTGGCTGCTGTGGGTGTGGAGCTCCCTGGGGATGAGATGCCCACGCTGGGTGCACAGGATGTGGAGCTGCCTCCCAGCTGCTGGGTTTGGCCACTCTCAGGGTTCAGATTCCCTCTGCAGCTGGGTGTTGTGGGCAGGCTGATGAAGGAGGTGCAGGGAAGTGAGTTTTCCATGTGAATTGGAGCCTGCGGAGATGAAATTGGTAAGTGCAAAACCACTGTGTCTCCTCCCTTGCTTTTCTGTTTCTGCTGAATATTACTGGCCACACTCAGGGAGCAAAGGGCAAAATTTAGTCCACCCCACGACCTTCACAGTGAGCATGGATAGTCTGTCTGCTAACAACACCCACTCTGCACTAAGTAGCTTTTTAATATTGATGTCAAGCAGTTCAGAAATAGTTTCAGACCCATTTAACTGGCAGATTAGACCCTTTAGGTGGTGGACACAGCATGGAAAAGGCTGGACACTGATTTTTCTACCTGTACAGGCTGGGGAAGGAAATGCAGCTTGCCTGCTGCACTGGATTGTGTGCCTCATGTGCTGCATTGAAGTACAGGAGTGCCTGGGAGCTCAGAGTTCTGAGACTGGAGGGGGTGGACCCATGGGAGATAAAGGCTTGGTGCTAATGGAGGTAGGGTTCCTTCTCAGGGGATAATGATCTTGCCAGACTTGTTTTCCCAGTAAGGTGCTGCCACCCAGTTGCCCACATGCAGTTTTGGTCAAGTCTTTGCTGTTTTTCCCTTTCCTTGCAGTCTGGTTGCAGCCTGAGGATACCACTGTGCAGAGTGGCTGCAGGAGCAGCACGCTGGCTGCCTAAGGCTTGCAGGGTTTGCAGATTGCAGCATAACAGTGACTGACAGCACATGTGCTTCCATGGATGCAGTCATGGTTGGGACGTAGGGTTAGAAGAGGTTGGTGTTCCAAAACTCTTGCAGTAAGAACATATACGTTTTTTTCAGAGTCTAGCCCAGTGTGCTGATGTGACACATCAAGCTTTTACAGGCTGTGGCAACAGCAATTAAAAAAACATAATGGATAAGATATTTGTAATGACTTTCAAGCCTGAGAGTTGACACAGGTAGCCAGTGTTCCAGGTTGGTGGCTGAAGCACCTCGGCAGTAGGGGCTGGCCGTAGCTGGGTGTCAGGGGTGCAGGTGATTCACCAAAGCAGTGCTCAATTATTTAAGGCCTTTTAAAATATGCAGTATGCAAACAAGTTAAATTAAACCCCAAAACTCTGGGAGCAGTTAGTTAGGTTATGGGTGATGCTGCGCTGTCAACAAGCTGATGGCATACTGATATAAATCGAGTGAAGGTGTTCTGCTTGATACCTAGCCCAAAGGAGATGGTATTTCTCTTTTTTTGGAGTGGAGGCTGTGGGGCTGCAGGGCCTGGTGCCTGCAGGAGGCAGCAGAGGCTCGGGAAATCTCGGGCACATCTGGCATGGGGCATTCAGGAGCTGAAGATGTGCGTGGTCCTGGCTGAGCAAGGCACTTCTGTAAGGAAGCTTAAGGAATTGGCTAAAGAAAATGGTGTAAATTAGCTTTTGGGCTGGATCCGTGCTGGGCTGACGCCATACAAGTGGGCTCCTGGGTCAGTTAGGATCAATGTGATGATAAGAGGATAGCACAGAAAAGCTTTATTTGCATTGCATCACTTGTCCTCAAGTATTCAACCCTTTCAATGGACATGAGTGAACTCAATTTTCTTTTATATTACAGCATTTCTACTAGAAAGAGGTTCTTTGGTGTTTTTTTTTCTGTTTTGTTTTTTTTTTTTAAAGCCTTTCAGTTTATAAATGCATATCTCAGTAAAGAGCATCTGCAAAAGGAATTGGTTTGACCTCTGCTTCCTTAATTGCTTTTTGCTCCAAATTGGCCTGGAAATAAATGTTGGTATTGTATAAATTGCTACAGTGCTGAAAAGAGAGCCAATGAGATCAGGTGTGTAGCTTCTGTCAGGAAAATCACTTTCTTAACAGGAAAGCAGCACCTACAGTCTGTAACCAGAGCAGGTCAGACCCACCTGATAATTACCTATTTTCTGCTTCTGAGCAGCCCACAGTGCTGGTTGGAGCATGTTTAATCTGAGATCTCTTCCGAGCTGCCCATAGGCCCTGGAGGGGTGCTGAGGGCCAGGTAATTCGGGCTGGGGTAGGAGTGGAGAGCCAGGGCCCTCCTGCAGAGGCTGAAGGTGCAAGGAGCAGCTTCATGCTCACTCACGTCTTGTGTGCTTTCCGTTCTTTGGATCAGCCCTGAGCACCCTGTGAGCCCCTGGCAGCAGCATCAGGGGTGCTGGTGGCTGGGGAAGCTGCAGGTTCACACACCTGGGCTGGATGTGGTGCTGTCACTTACGGTCTGCAGGCGTGTTGTGAGCAAGTGCTCGGCCTTGGGAAACCTCCACCCCGTTCTTCAGCTATAAGTCTACCTCTGTGCTATCGAAATTATTGAAACGAGAAAAGCAACAATGCTTGTGTAATTAGTATATTAATATGCTGAAGGAATCAGCATACTAATTACTTGACAGGATGAGAATAGAGGTCAGGTTCTTCAGAAGGGATGAGGGATGAGTCCTGTGGATTCAGACAGCTCCATTAGGATGACAGAGCCTCCTCTATTTACCAGTAACACCTCCAGCAAGGTGCTTTACATTATAAGAATTCAAAATGCTTGGGTCAATGCTAAAACAAATGGCCTCTGCATTTAATGCACCTTCTGGCTTTACAATCCTGCTGAGGATCGTGTCCTAAGAATCAAAGAGTCGGTATGCCTGGGATACTTTGCCTCTGGTAATTGAAGGTGTGAGTAATTGGTGGTCTTTAGGACTTCCTGGTTTGAATTGGTTTTGTCTCTCAGGATTAAGCTTTGTCCTCTTCTGTGCTTGAAATAAAGAAAACAAAATCAGAAAAGTGAGGAAGAAAAGCTATATTTAAAAAAGTAGGGAAGCATTTGATTTGGGAGTGCTTTTATGCGATATTTATCATGTTCCCTTTTGCTAGGGTAATAAATTCTATTAGGCCATTTAGCATAGTCATGCTAGCCACATTTGTGATCTCTTCCCTTATGTGAGAGCCCATGAATAACACTGGCAGGCTGTGTACTGGAGGGGATGGGTGGCTTACTGCTCCTTACTGCAGCCTCAGAGGCAGTTCTCCAGGCAGCACAGAGCTGCCCTGAGGACACCAGCACCTGCTGGAGATGTGCCTCCAGGTGCTGGTGGCTTCACCTCCAGGATCTGATGGTGACCACCTGAGTGGCCATGGATGGATGTCCTAAGGTGGGGAGGTACCTCCTTCAAATGATCAGCGATTTCATGTCATGTTTTTATTGTATGAACTTGGAGAATTGCTGGGGACGTGAAGGTTTTGCTGTGGTGTGGAGAGGGCTGAGTTGGTCAGTGGACTGGTGTGGTGCTGGGCATGCTGCAGTAGCACAGAGCTGCCTGCATGGCTCCTGTGGCCATGAGAACAGAGCTTTGCTGTTCCCAAAATAGCCCTAGGTCATTCAGTGAGAAAAAGCATCTCAGGCACAGGCTGAGATGTTGTGCTGTGGGGTGCTGCCACTTGCAGAGGGAGCACGCTGTTCTGTGCTAGCGCCCACCTCTGAGCCTTCCTGCTTGGGTCCTGGAGTCCCTGCAGGCATTTGTTCTTAGAAGTCCTCCTCTTTCATGGGAAAGGTTTTAATCTTTAGTATTCTAGCCAGTGCCCGTGGTTATCCTGGCTTCAGCTTTTGCAGACTTTTGGTTCAACTTCCTAATGAGCCAGGGCTTTATTTCTCAAAACACAAGGTGCTTTTATGCCTGTCCAACAGGAGCACGCAGCCTTGGCCAGCATCAGGCCCATAATTACCGACCGCAGCTGTCTGCAGCTTTGTTCCACGAGGCTGGGCTAGCACAAAGGACGGGTGTTAGGCTTGCCTCTCTCCCTTGGTTACTTCCCTGGCCTTTTAACAAGTTATAATTACAGAAAATTGGTTCTGTATAAGCATCCCACTGACAGCCTGTGTGTGCGAGATTCGTATCTGTAATTTGGCAGTGATACTGATTATCGTTACAAGGGGTCGTTAACATTTGTGTTTGAAGCATGGCAAGGATGTCATCCTCCAAAGGATCTAGAGGATGATTCTTGTTCGTTTACCCAAGTTGAGGCTGTTGTTCTTGCTTCAGCACCCTGATTTGCCTGGACAAAGGTTTTGGCCTTTCTTTCGATGGTATAATTGTTTACCATATTCTTGCTAAATGGCAATGTGGATTTGTGGGTCCTCTTTATTTCAGTTATATTTAAATCTGAGTGCAACTTCTCTTTTTCTTTCCAAGCTGCTCAGCCTGCCTCTTGGGTTGATGAGCTACACGCTAAAAATTCCAGTGTCCCGGCTAAACCTTCTACAAAAGCTCTTCAAAAATCATCCTCAAAATGTCACTGACATCCCAGGTGCTGGGGTGGCACAGCCACAGGACATGGCTGTCCCTTGGGGCTGATGTTCAGGGTGGCTGAGCAGTGTGCTTTCCTTGATCTGTCCCCGTTTCTGCTTCCCACAGTGTATGGGCACAACGTGAAGAGCAGCAATGACTTCATCGGGCGGATCGTCATCGGTCAGTACTCCACAGGTGCTCCCGAGTCCAACCACTGGCGCCGGATGCTCAATGCACACCGGACGGCTGTGGAGCAGTGGCACAGCCTGCGCTCACGGGAGGAGTGCGACCGCGTCTCCCCGGCATCCCTGGAGGTGACATGAGGTGTGGCACCTGTGGCGGCCAAACCAAACAGGCGGGCAAGGCAGGGAAAAAACTCCAACCTCCAAATCACCCAACCTCACTCCCACCCCACGGCAGCGCCATTGGACCGAAGCAGCTGCCGGTACCCACCTGGCTGCGTTGGCCTTTGTGCAAACCTCTGCAGCGCCAACCGTGTCCCGCCGCGTCCTGTGCCAGCGGCTCCTCGGTGGCACCGGCCGCCTGACTGGCCGGACCCATTGCTCCCTGCGCCCGGCACCGCTCTGCTGTTTCAGTGACAGAGCAGCAGGTGGCAGGTGGAGGTGCCACAGGACATGCCAAGATGGGGAAGAGTTCTGAGTTGCGTCCGCTCTCCTTACGATCCAAATCCATGACTTGTCCTCTCGGAGATCTACGTACCTGTGTGCTCTCGTTGGTGAACATCATAATTAGGCTAGGATGTTTTTTTTAAATGGTAGAAGCTGTGGTGAAGTCGATTCTGGCTCCAGTTTTGTCCTTGTATTTGTTTCAACAGAATTAAGCTCCTGTTAATACGTGGCTGCACACACAGACCTTGCTGTGCGGGGCCGACGTGCTGCCAGCAGCGGAGCCTGCCGCTCTTCATAGCAGTTCGTGTGCGTCCAGTAGATACTGTGATGATATAGCGAGTAAATGTCTCCAGTAGCATTTATACTTCTCGATCCTTCCCAGTGTTGAGTAAAAGAAACCTGCTGTGGGTATTTCTGCAGTTAAGAATGCCCCCAATGCACACTTTTACTTCCCTGATAGACTGCAGTGACTCCTTCTATGTTGTGTGTGTTTACTGAGGTAGTTTTCCAGGTCAGCACATGAATGTAGGTGTGGTCAAGCTGTCCTGTTGGTTGCTTCTGTACATTATTTTTTTTTTTTCCACGGCATATTGTCTGGTATAATGCAGATTGTATATTTATTGAAAATAAAAATCTATTTAATTGTGCCACGCACCCTGAGGTGGTAACTGTTAGCAGAATTCATTCTTGTGTTGAGCTCAGTTATGTTTATGGTGCTAGGAAAGACAAGCCAGAAGGTTGGAGCAGGACCTTTCTTACTGCAGGTGAACCCAGAGTTATTTTGGGGAGCAGACCTGGAGCTGGCACAGCCCTGCCTGCACGGTGGCCAAGAGCCCCATTCCGTGCTGGGTGCATTCCCAGTCAGAGCACCCTGGAGAGGCAGAATATGATAAGAGTGCCTGCATGGGACTGCAGGTCACTGTGCTCTGCAGGAGCTGCCCCCAAATTATTACATATTGTAAAAGTTGTTTTTTCGGGGTGGTGGTGGTTGTTGTTGCTTTTTAACCAGCATCATGTCTGTAGGAAAATCTGTATCTTGCTTTCAGCCCATTCACAACTCATACTGGAGGGATGGCATCCACAAGAGAGCAGGATTTGGTGCACTCCCAGTAAAAGCTGTAAATTTAGATTGGTTGCTAAGAATTAGAAGGGAACGGCACTGACTGTGTTCCCAAGAAGTATGCCCAGTGCTGTCTGGAGGCATAAATGGGAAATGGAGTGGGGCCACAGAGTTTTATAGCACGTGTGTATGTTCTGTTCCCTTACCTGTATGCTGATACTAGGAAATGACTTAATACAATGTTGTGTTATTCTTTTTAAAATCTGAAGTTTGTTTCCAAACACAGTTCTGACCACAGAAAGGAGACATTCTGGAGCTTCCATCGCATCTCTGCTTGTTGCTGGAGGTTTCCTCGTGTTGCAGGACGGCACGAGCACGGCGTGGAGCTGGCAGGTGGGCGGCAGAGTGAGCGAAGCAGCCCTGCTCTGGGCAGCACAGCCTTCCTCTCTGAGCTCCCTGCGCCGATAACGGGCAACGCACAGCGGGGCAGTACGGGAGCGCAGCCCCGCCGGGAGCCGCATCTCCGCCCGGCTCGGGGAGGAGGGCAGCAGCGGGGAGGTGCGGGGCCGCCTCCTGCCGCGGGTGGGGCCGGAGCCGCTCCCAGTGCCGCCGCCTGCCCTGGCCGGAGCCGAGGACCGCGGAGCTGCGGCGATGGGCTGCGGCCGTGCCGTGTGCGTGCTGCTGGCTGCTGCGCTTCTGCCTGCCCGCGCCTTCCCCCAGACCAACATCAAGATCAGCCAAGGTGAGTGGGAACGCTTTTGGGCAGCGAGGTCGGGCCTCTCGGAGGGGCAGCAGGGGACTTGTCAGTTTCTCCTGCTCCGGAATTCTCAGGCTTGTCAACTTCTTCTTTTGGGAGGATAAGCCCAGAGCAACCTGAAAAATGACATAAATACGAGGTTCCTCCCATTCCTCTGCTTTTTTTTTCTGTATGTAAGTCTAAAGCAAGGGGTGACAGTGGCTGCTCTGTGCCACTTACATGTGTTGCAAACTTGTTACCGGGGCTGCATGGAGGTGTGCCTGTGCTCAGTGCCATACACTGTAGGGCTCTGAGCGGAGAGGGACCTGTGAAGTGCTACTCGTGAGGAAAGGGGTCAATACTTGGCTGTTTTTCCTGCCAGATGCCTCATCAATGGCAGCTTTCCCCCCACTAATTAAGGAGTACAAAAATGCAAGATAACTGCTATCTGTTACCTCTGGCTGTAGCAGAGCCGCAGGGGGCTGCTGCTGTTGGCTGCGGCAGCCTCACATCTCTGAGTATGTGTGACATGAGATTCCAATCTGGAAGGACAGCTTGGTTTTATTATAGGGTCTTAAAAAGCAGAGCTCTCTGTCTGAGAGGATGTTGCTTTTCTGATGCTCTTCAAAAAGTTCTTTAAAGTTCTACTTGGAAATCTGTGACTGGTGCCTAAAACAAAACAAAAAAACAAATGACTCCAGGGTGTGCAAACATTTACCAGTTACTGACTGATCTCCATGTCCATCAGTGGCTGCCGACCCTCAGATGCAAGGGAACTTCCACCCTGCTGAGGCAGGGACTCATGCAGTCAGTGTTGTATCTCGGTCAGTAGCATCCTGATTAAAAAAAAAGCCTCAGGAAACTGCCTGGGGATTTCTCAGTTTGTCTTTGGGAAGTGAAGCTTTCTGCCAGAGCAGTGCCAGCTTCTGAACGGCTGTGACACAGGGTTTGTCCCATTATGGGGATCCTGATGGCTCTGAGCTGGATCTCAGCAATAAGTAAAAAGAACTCTATACAAATGTATGGAGCGCAAAGCTCTCTTTCTGACCCTAAATTTTTGCTTTCCAGCTTTTCTGGATGTTACCTACCTGTGTGGATCTTACCTTCAGCCAAGTATAGACCAGAAATTTGGGGAGAAAGGGCTGACGTGCCATGGGGCTGGCAGGAAGCTGGTGTTGCAGGTGGTAGATTTGCTTCAGGTGCTGCTCTGTGCCCTGGGAGCTGATGCTGCTGAGGCGGATGTTTTTCTGGGGTTTTTAAATCTGAGGACCTGGTCAGAATGTGCCCCATTCCTGTTTACATTAAGTATCGTTTTCAGCTGCTGTCTTGGGTTATGAGGTTTTCCTATAGAGCTGTGAGTGTGCTTATATACTCACGCATGAAATTTCTTATGGCTTTCCTGCTAAAAATAGCTCCTGAAGTTCCCAGACCACGGCAGCACCCCCAGTTGTCGCTGCCTGTAAATGTAAGAGCAGAAATCCTCCTCCAAAGAGAGCGCCAGAGCCTCTGATCCTGACCCAAGAGAGAGGATGCTAATTAAATGTTGACCTCCCTTCTTTTCCTTTTTGGTATATTTAACCTTAAATTCCTTCTGGCACCTCTGGTTCGCTGAAGCTCATCAAATTAATGCTACCTAATGGGAAGCAGTGCAGAATAACAAAGGAGGGCTGTCTGCATCTCCACTCAGTTTTGGCTGCTTTGGACAAGAGGGGGGCAGTGATCCTCCAGGGCAGGGGGTGCTGAGGGCCCCAGTGTGATCCAGGAAGGGAGGGAGTCGCTGGTCTCTGCCCTGTGAATTTTGCCACCATGCTGCTGGAGGTGAAGAGTTTGCCAGGGCTTTTTGCACCTCTGTAAAACAGCTGGGGGCTGCAGCCTTTTCCCCTGGATCCAGTCCTTTGGCCCCACTCTGTGTGTGACGCCGCAGGAAATCACATCAGCTTGTGGCATTCCTGGTCCTTCTGCTCTACGGCTGCAACAACAATGGCTCACTTTTCTTAGGGCTGTGCTTTTCCCATCGCAAGAGAAGCTGGATGCCATCACCGCTGAGCTGCCTGGGTCTTGGCTGCACTGCTCTGAAGCTGCTCCTCGTCTTTTTTTGCCATACCAACATTGGCTTCACTGCCCTCTCATCACATGTGGCTGTTGGTGGGGATCTGCTCTGCTCACCACTGTATGACCCATGCTGGCAGTCAGTTCCCTCCAGGCTCTTCAACACCAGAGGCCCTTCAGCAGTGCCTTGACCTCTCCGGCCTTGAGCCTGTTACCTGCTTGGGTAGCTCAGTGGCATCTGCCTCTCCCAGGGCCAGGCTTTGCCCTAAGCCCTGCTCCTGACCCCTCAGTCATTCCAACAGGGCCCTGGGGGGTGGCAGGAGCTGATGCTGAAGGAGCTGGGGCACATCAAGGCTCAAACCCAAGGGCTATGGGCGTTCAGCCTGTTTGCTATGTGATTTTAGGATGTGCACATGTATTAGTGTTTGTTGATGTGTGCTCTTTCTCCTTTGTTCCACATAAAGGAGGCTGCAGAGGAATGTGTTCATGCTGGTGCAATTTTTATATTATGTAAGGGCTCCAAAAAATGCCTCTTGTGCCCCCAAAATAGCCTCACTTGAGGAAGTTCTCTTGCCCTGCTGAAGAGCTCTGCAGGGCCCCTCTTATCTCCCAGGGAGGCAGATAGAGCAGCACTGCTCCCCTTGGCCTCCCCAGGGCTATTTCTGGCCCATAACACAAGGCGTGCTGGTGTGCACTGCTGCCACTGGGCTAGGACAGGAGATGTGCTGAGAGGGAGCTGTGGCCTTACAGGAGGTACAAGCAAGAGGGCAGCGCATGGCCAGAGCCCTGCAGCTGTGGTGTCAGCCCTGTCCCAAGACAGTGGCCCCACTGGTGTCTGATGGAGCCGAGAGGAGCCCTTATCTCGTTGTCTTCCGTAGCACCAGTGAGTGTTTTCATTTGGAGCACCCCATGCATGATACCATGTCAAACAGGCTTGCAGTGCAAGTCTCAATATTCTTCTAGGTGGCCACTAAAATAGGGAAACTCATGGCTTTTTGCAAAATTTGGGCTTGTGCAAAATTTTGAATGGCTTCAGCCAAATCTGCTTTTTTTCCACATGTATAACTTTGGTTTGTTGTCAAGGAGCAGGGGTGGCTGGCTGCTGCTTCTCCCACATCTTCTGTGTGTCCTCTGCTCTGCCCCCAGCCCTCCCGGAGCCTGTGCATGCCTACTCCTGCCCTCTCTTCTGGACAGAGTATGAAGGGCACTGCTACCGCTACTTCCCCATCAACAAAACCTGGGCTGAGGCCGACCTCTACTGCGCAGAGTTCTCCATTGGCATCAGGTCAGCGAAGCTGGCCTCCATTCACAGGTGAGAGTCACCGACTGTCCTCTTCCTTCTGTGGAACTGGGGATATGGGGACCGCATCCAATTCCATGCAGCAACCAAGGCCAGCCTGCTGTCTTGGGCATGCAAAGCTGGGGAAGAAAATGCTTTTTGCTATGCTGACAGAAATAATGCTGTAGTGCTCCCTAAATCTCCCGCAGAGTGTGTTTCTTGTACCTAAACTGGGGTATAAATCTGATGTGATTACATGGGCTCTGCTTTTCCACTCCTTGTCCTCTACACTACACACCTTTTGCAAAGACCTGACACCAGATCACCACAGTTAATAGACAGGGAGCCATTTGTCCAGCTCCAGGAAGGATGGTGATGGCGTCCTGACCCTTGCCAGTGGTAACCTCTCATTGCTGCACACCTGCTCTTTTGCCAGCTGGGAAGAGAATGTCTTTGTGTATGACCTGGTGAACAGCCGTGTGCCTGGCATCCCCACTGACATCTGGACGGGGCTCAATGACCTGCGGCAGGTGAGCAGCCCCGGCCTCTGCTTCTTTTCCTGTTTTTCCTGGTTGTTGCAGTAAGCAGGTGTGTTGGCAGCCTCCTTCCTGCTTAGGTTTTCTTTCCTTGGAAAATGGTTTAGAGAATAGCCAAGTCTATTGCTGTTCTTTTTGTAGACTGAAAATTACTCCAATGTCAAAAATCACCAAGTTTCGGTATTTTCTTATGATGCTCTGTAGCTTTTCAAAAAACTGGCTTGTTGGAGGTATTTCCTCACTATATATTAGATGATACAAAAATTGAGATCATCAGAACAGTCACACATCAGCAATTCCTTGGAAAGAAGAAGAAAAGGAGGAGAGGGAACACAAAATATTGCACTCTTCAGTTGCAAGATTGATTTCAAGAGAACCCCTGTGCAGTGCTGCAGTCCTGTGGAGCTGCCTTTCACTGATGTTTTATGGGCACTTAAGAAACGCAAAATGAGCCTTATCATTTATTACTGTAGCTTGAATTATAGTATGGAGGGATGTTAAGGCAACGTACAACAAGAGGGATATTGAATTGCTTGAGTATGAGCAGAGAAGAGCAATGAAGCTTGGGGAGGACAAGAAAACAAGTTGTGAGGAGTTGCTGAGGGAGTGGGGCTTCTCAGTTTGTGGTCTCAAGTTGTGCCAGGAGAGATTTAGGTTGCAAATCGGGAAGAATTTTGTTGTGGAGAGGCTGGTGAAGCATTGGAATGGGCTGTCCAGAGTGGTAGTAGAGTCCCTGAAGATATTTAAGAGAGAAGGGATGTGGCACTGAGGGGTGTGGATTAGTGATAGGACATGGTAGGTCAGGCTGATGGTTGGACTTGGTGATGTTAAAGACCTTTCCAACCTCAGTGCCTGTATGGTTCTATGCTATAAGTTTGTGGTGCAGATTGCTAGTGCTCCCTGGGGTAGGTTTTCAGCCGTATAACCTCAACAAGTTGCTTGCTCAGTTCTCCATGTGTCCCTGTAGTGTCTTGTACCATTTGGGTATGTGGCAATGGGTTGCCTTGGGACAGGGTCTGAGGGACACCGCTCCGCAGTGGCTGCACCTCTGCCTGTGCCCCACAGGAGGGTCACTTCGAGTGGACGGATGGCACCTCCTATGACTACAACTACTGGGATGGCAGCCAGCCCGATGACGGCATCCACTCCATCCCTGAGGAGGAGGACTGTGTACAGATCTGGTACCGGGCCAGCAGCGGTAAGCACCGCGGTTCAAGGGCGCACCGAGTCCTATTTGCATGCAAATAAATTCTGTCCGCTGCTGCTCGCGCTTTTCTGAAGAGGCTGCTTGGCAGGGTGATGATTTGCATTTTAAATCTTTATTTTCTGCTTTTCTTCACAAGCAGGGTGTTTTCTCTATAACCACACTCACACACACGCTTTCCCTCTACTTACATCCAGAGGGGGGAACATCACTGGAGAATCACTAAATTTAGTCAATGTGTTGTGATCTCCCCCTGCGTGCACGGCTTGCTGCTAAGCACGTCCCTTGGCCAGCTTTCGCCTCCATTGCCAGCATGGGCTCTCACTAAAGCATGGCAAAACCCTGCTTGTGTGAGGAGCCCAAAGGCATCCCTGGGCTGGGTGCTTTGCCTCACGCCTTGTTTTTGGGGCAGCGCTGCGCTCCTGGAACGACAACGCCTGCGGCCGGACCTTCCCCTTTGTCTGCAAAATCCCCTCGCTGGCCCTGGACTGAGCCTGACTGTGTGCCCAGCTTCGTGCTGTCAGCGGGGCAGCGCGGGACGGAGCAGGCCTCATGCTCTTCACCTCGGCCCTGAAGCTCTGCCTGCAGACAAGCGAGTTGCAGAGCAATGGAGGCCACCCAGACTTGAACCTGGGGTCGAGTTTAAAATAAACTCTCACAGGAAATCTGTAGGAAATCTGTTATTTTATCGATGCAGAAGTTGTGGCTGCAGGTGGAGAATTGGGAGAAAGGGGGTGGGCTGTTGCCGGGCACTGTGGAGTCATGATGATGGCTTGGGGTGGGGGGGAAGAGCCTGGAGCAGCTGTGCTGTGCTGTAAGGAGATAGCCAGTGTGAGTTACACATATAGCATGCACACACGTGCTGTGGCTGTGCCATCAGCTGCAGGCGGATTGGTCTTCCTGCCTTTAAAGAGCAAATGCAATATTAATTCTTCCTAATTGCTTTCTATAAGCTTGTCAGTAATATGTAAAACATAATTATCATTACAAGCCCCTTGGATAGGTTTTAGATAGGATCACCTATCCCTTAAGAAACAGCTTTAAGACACAAGGCCTTCTTTGCAGGCTGTTCCAGGCAGGACCGGGTCCTTTTCCTCATCTTGACACAAAGTCAAGACAAATCCTTTGCAAAGATGAGTAAAAACTCCCACATAAAATTGCTGTGTTGCCCCTGATGTCACCAGCTGAGACACATCTCAAAGCTCATACTTTCCAGAGTGATTGCATTGGGTGCAATGAGGTCAGCAGGGCTGAGACAGCTTTACCCCTAACAGCCACCTCTGCTTTTGGCTAAAATACATTTTCTCTCTTGGACCTTGGAATGGAGCTGCAAAACTTGGTGGGGGTACAACTGTAGTTGTAAGTGGGGCTGTGTGTTGGAGTCAGTCTTTAAAATGAGGAAATACTCAGGTACACATTTAAAATATATTTAATTATATATGTATAGATTTCAGCAGTTTTCTGTCAAAGTGCTGTGTGGTAGAGGATGTTCACCCCGTCTATTTTGTTATGGAGGTGAATGCCCAGGGTCCCTCAGCACAGCCAGGCTGGAGGATCCAAAGAGCAGATCCACCTCCAGAGTACCTGGGCTCTGCTGCTGGTTCGGTTGTCTCAATGGCGCAGGGATGCTGAGCGTCCCAGCACTCTACCTGGGAGATGCTCTCCTCTCCATCCCCGTTGCCCAGCTCCTGGAAAGGTGAGTCCATGCTGCTGATGCCTTCATTTCTTTGGCTGTGAGTGCATGCAGAACCTCACACCCAGCAGAAGCCCCTGGTCAAGACATGAGACAGATGGATGGGCACCCAGTGTTTTGTCAGCCTGCAAGATTCAAGAAAACAAAACCCATTTATTTCCTTCAAGAACTACAAACCTTTTCTATTATGTGGTGATTTGCTTGTTGCTGCTGTGACTCACCCATGGGCACATGTGGTTTGGTTGTTTTTTTTGGGGGGGGGTTGTTGGTTTTGTTGTTATTTGTTCTGTTTGTTTTTCTTTTAGTGGATATTCCTCACCCATGGAATTGGTGGTTTTGGAACAAATGGTGCTGCTGGGAAGCCAAGTGGCTGCAGTGAGGTGGTGAGGAGCTGTCCTGTGAGGGGTGCTTGCATCCTTTGGATGCTGGGAGCACTTGCAGCAAAAGAGCAATGGTCACTGACGCTCTGAGTTGCAGCAATGAAATAAGACCGGTTTCTGTGCACAGCGTGCATGCATTACCTTCTCTCCTCACTTTCCTTTCTGACAGTCTTCCTTTTATGCATGAAAATAATTATTTTAGGATAGTTTTTGCATGTTGGACAGGAGGTAATGAACGTGTTTTTTCCAGGCATAAGCCAGGTTTTTCCAGGCTTATGCCTGCCGTCATAAAACAGGGCATTGCATACAGATAGCAATGGTACGTAAAGAAAACAGCTGTACAAGCAAGATGTTCCTGGTCCCGGTGAGTTCAACAAATGCTGAACTGAAGCAGCACCTGGTGCTGGGACTGCCTCCCTGCACTGCTTCTTCCTGCTTGCTCTATTTGCAGGAGCTGGGAGCTCAGCACCATAGGATCTGGCACTCCTCGAGCCAACGCACCCACCTTTCCCTGCAAGTGGCTTGAGACATTTCCAAAAAAAGTTTGAAAAGTTCCCTTGGGAAAGCGTTTGAAGAGTTGGGCCCCACCACGGCTAAAAATACTGCTAATGGGGTGAGCCTGTGGAAGCTGTCGGCTCCAATTAATATCTTCATTTCCAGGTAAAGAAAAGTGAACTTGCGTGACCAGAAAGTCAAACTGGAGTTAATAGGGGTGATGTTTTGCAAACCTCTGCTGCTTTCACCTCAGGCTCCAATATCCTTACTTTCAAAAAACAAAAAACAAAAAAACAAAAAAACACCCAGTGCTTCTTCCTTTGCTGCCGCCTTCTGTGTCACAGCAATCACACAGGGCTCCTGGGACAAAAGGAGTGTCCTGCTCCTGAATGAACTCTTGGATCATCAGGGTTGATGCTTGGCAGATGATAAGATGTGCCTATGCCCTCGGTGTTTGCCCAGCTGAGAGGAGTTGCAGCTCTTCAGGCTGAACATTATTTTAGTTTTCCTGTGCCGCTGTCCTTGCCCCCAGCTCCGCACCTTGGCTGTCTCTGTATGTTGAGACCAGCAGCCTGGGAACTCCCCAAGCAATAAATGCAGGAGAGTCCTCTTACCTCTTCAAGTGTTTCAGGAGTTCAATATCTTCCTTTGCAATGTGTGAACTCAGGGTAAGTGTATGACATACTCCAGGAGTGAACAAAAATGATCATCTATTGGTGACAAATGCCTTTATCCTCCTGTGCCCCATTTCATGGTCTGTAGAAGTGCTGTTGTCCCCACTCAACCCCAGCAGGCAGGAGACATGGGACCACCTGCATACTTTGTCGTTTAATTCTGGTTTTATTTTATTTTATTTTTATTTCCTGAAATTCTCTGCTGTGTGTGGGAAGAAGCTTCAAGGACAAGCTGCAATCTCTGGGCCACCAAAACACTTTGATGCTGTGCCATGGGGAGGGCAGTCACTCAGTGTGTTTGGTTCATGCTGCCCACATCACTCACTGCCAATGCCATCACATTCTGACTACCTGAGATTGTGGAAGACACCTGCCCAGAGTCAGCTCTGTCTTTGGTGCAGGCATTGCATGAGCATTCAGTACTCCATAATGGAGAGCCTGTGGGTTTGCAACTCTTCTGGTGCAGCACAACTATGTGAGAAGGGTGATTGGGTCTTTTATTAAATGCTTTTGCACACCAGGGTCTTGTCAGCTTGGCTTGAAACTCTCCTCTCTGGTTGCAAGTCATCAGAAGTGCAGATCCAATGAGAAAGTAATGAGCTCCTGCTGGTAAACCCAGTCACCTTGGAGGTCACTGCGTCAGCATGCAGGTGATGTGGTGGAGAAAGGGACCTCAGCTTGGCAAGACTACTGGCACCTGTCTGTCCCCCAACCGGGGCAAAGCTGTGCTGGGCAGGGTGTAGGAATAGGGCTGCTGCTCAGCGGTGTCTGAGTGGTGCCTTCCAACACGGTCATACTGCAGTGCTCCTGCTGCTTCAGCTCAACGGAGCTGTGCTTTGTCATCTGTTAACAGACAGCCCGGCTCTTGGGTTACCACGGCAACCGGATATTTGCTCATTTGTATTTCTTGAAAATTATTCCTTCATGTTGATTGCAGTGTTTGTGGAGCTGCTTGTCAGGGTGCTGAGGCACCAGCACCTGTCAGCACTGTGTGCAAGCGGACCAGTGCTGCTTCAGAGCGGGCAGAAACTCTGCTGGCTGTGATGTGCTGTAACTGTATCCCTCCTGCACAGATGGGTACCACAGCCCACGGCAGGGTGTTTGTTCTGCTCATCCCCACCTGACCTCTGCTTGTTGCATCGTGCAGCCAGTTGGCTAATGTACAACACAAGTTGCTGGAGACCTTCCTAAAGAGGGGAAGGGGAAGCTTTTGCAGGATGAGGATTTTTCATGCATGGAAAGGACTGCAATAAAACACCCCCCTTTGGATACATTCAGGCTGAGGGATAACTGTTCCTTGTATGATGGAGAGAGGAGGTGGGGGCTGGAGGGACTCCGGGGAAACAACCACTGCTTCCATCTGTCTGAGCAGGGGGTGGTCAGCATCGTCCCCTCCATCCCCTCCCTCTGACTATACCCATCACATACTGAAGGGGAAGGCACCAGTAGAAGTGAGGGATGAAACACTGAAATGTAGGTTCATTGATCAGGGTGAGGGCAAATACCCTCAGAAAAGGGTCGTGGTCTTCATTAATCTCCCAGGCGCCGTAGAAAGTCACAGGCCCAAGTGAATGCTGAATGGGAATGATGAAGGTGTTCATCTAATATAGAGAGTTGCCCTGGATTTGGCAGGGTTGTGAAAGCGATTACAGTTTCTAGTAGCAGTAAGATTAATGGTTATGATGAAATCTTAAACACCAGCTTTGTACTCTGCCCTTTCAATACCCATTAACTCCTTACAAAGGCTCTGCTGTAGCTATCCGGGGGACCTGGCTGTCCTTACACATGTAACCCACCCAACCCTCATATTCACCTTTGCTGATAGGGATTGCTGTGTTACTTTTTGCCCTGGGCCCTACATGTGCACTCTAAAGCTGCCAGGGTGTGACTTGAGATTTAGGCCAGATGTTAGGTGGAGTTTATTTACTCAGAGGATGGTGATGCTCTGGCACTGCTGCCCAGAGCTGTGAGTGCCCCATCACTGGAGGTACCCAGTGCCAAGCTGGATGGGGCCCTGGGCAGCCTGAGTTGGTGAGGGACAGCCAACCTTCAGTGGGGGGTAGGAACTGGATGGACTTTAAGGTCCCATCCAACCCAAGCCATTCTGTGATTCTCTGACTTTTGGGAAGGATGGGCTGGTTTGTAGGTTTAGGTGGAGCGGGCAAGCCGATACTGAATGACACTTGCAGTTTCTTCCATTTCTAATTGTTTTTAGCATCCAGCCATACAGGGCACCAAATGCCTCTCAGAGCAAGGATTTTAACTCTAAAATGCCAGCTCAGCCTCCTATCATTTGCAGAGCCAGCTGCCCATCCTCTCCTGCCTCTCCTTCTCCATTTTCTGGTTGGAACTAAATGACCCCTCCACCCCCCCCCCCCCCCAAAAAAAAAAAGCTGTGGTTGTTCAGATG